AGAATTTGTGTCAGGCATAGGATGGACCCAGACCCTTTTTGCTCCTGATATTGTCACTGCAAACTGTGTTTGACTACAGCTTTCAACAGTCATAATATTCTAGGATGAGATTCACATTTCTAATCCTAACAATTAAAATCTATAATTACAACAGGACTTCTTATTCAGGTCAATGAATATATGGTAAACAAATCTAATAATTAGTAATAATATCCTATAGTTCCTATTTGTTGAGTCTCTGTTCCAGGCCCAACACTTATTGTTTTGAAATGGGAAGATAACTGAATCGCCACAGTAGTTGAGGTATAGGTAATTATCCCATTTGACAGATCTAGAAATTGCACTTGGGAACAGATAAGCACTTGCTAAGAACTATGCAGCCACTGAGTGATTGCTGTGGAGTTGTTTGTTATTGTTCTCTGGAAGAAGATCTTAAAGACTTAGGGTGAAACATCTTATCCTCCTGGCAATTTCATTAAGTTCAAGAAGGAAACAATTCAGTAGCTTCAGGAAGCCCCTGAAACTGGCCAGACTCACTCGGCTCCTCCTTTGCCAACTTTATATAATCAGGCTTGACTGCTGAGAGACCCTCCCAGACAAACCAGGCAGCCTGGAAGTGACACTTGGATCTAATTTTAAGTTCTGCAGTGTGCCTCAGAGTTTTTTATTTTATTTTATTTTTGACAAGCCATGCCAGGGTGGTCTTTTGGTAGTAGAGGTATTTCTAAACTACTTCTGCTCCTGTAAGTAAACCCAATAAACTCACTATTTAACCAAGTTGGACTTTGCCTTACTTTGGTCTTGAAGGACCTGATGCTTATTCAAGTGTTTCCAGGAAAAATGAGACACAACAGGACAGAAAAGGGATTCAAACAGAGATCAAAGATACGCGAGTTTCTTTCTTTTCTTTTCTTTCTTTCTTTCTTTCTTTCTTTCTTTCTTTCTTTCTTTCTTTCTTTCTTGTCTGTTCATTCATTCCTTCATTCCTTCTTTTCATCCTCCCCCCCTTCATCTTCCTTCCTCCCCCTCCTCTCTTTATTTCTTTAGAATTGACTCATAATGGTTTTCTCATTTGATATTTCTCTGTGTGCCCTCTCTGCTTGGGGAAGGCATATCTGAAAGCTAGATCAGTTTGAGGAAATCTGGCCCTTGCTTAAATTTTTGCCTCACTTTGAAGACCATTTACCAACAGGTCTCTCTAGAGCAAGAGGTTTCTAGAAGGTCTGGGGAGCCTGTAGCTTCTGACTGGAAATAAAAAAAAAATAGCAATGCAGGCTCTGGCTATCTTCAGAGTCTGAGGAGAGACACATTACATCAAAGGGACCTGGTCCCTTTGATGAAGAGAAGGCAGGAAATTATTCATCCTGCTCCAAGGAGGGACAGAGACTAGAAGAGGTTCATTTGGGCTTCCACGGGGGTCTGGAGTGGAAGGCACAGACAACCTTGAACCCGAATTTCCTCTCCTGAAAAGCAAGGTAAAAGCAAGGAAGATGAGCAGCAGAACTCGGTTACTGCTCACAGAACTTGGTGACGCCCTTCTCTTTTTTTCTTCTTATTCTTTTCCTTTTGCAATCTCATCTGCAATCACACATTACTCCACCCGAGTGCTTAATATGGATTTCTATGACAGATCCTAACATAATCACCAAAAAAAGAGAAAAGTTCCCCTCCCTGAAATGCAAACTCTGAGCTGTGTAGGTGTGCCTAACAGACAAGGAGCTAGAGTGAGCTGAGTGCCTGTGTCTAGGTCCTAGGAATTAATCACTTAGGAGACTTAAGGGGGGGGGACTAGCTTGCTTTAACATCTGTAAGACTCTCCAATGCAGCTGCCAAGACAAAACTTGCCAAATAGACTTATGACGATCTTCCATAAGAACCAAACTTGAAAAATCAGGTTTCCATTTGATTTTCTCTCTCCAAAATGCCTTGCAAGATGTCTACTCTAAGGGTTTAGTTGCAGGTCACAGAATGCCCTGAAAATCTCCCTGAAAGAAATACCTACTGGCTTTTTATTATCATTTGAGGTGTTTTTTTTTTTTTTAACAAATTTGTACAGCCATCACTTTGCTATTTCATTTACAGCACTTAAACAAACTGCTTTCATCCTCACTTTACAGTAGCGGACTCTGGTTTGTAACCTCACACTCAGGTAACCACTGATCTGTAGTCTGTAAACTTGCCTTTCATGAGACATTGCATATCAGTGGAATCATGCGGTTTGTGGTATTGTTTTTGGCTTTTACCATATTTTTAAAAATTCCTTCATGAGGCAGCAAGCATCGTTTTCCCTTTCCTCTCCCCTGCTGAATAATATTCCGTTGAATGGATACATCACTTTTATGTGTTCAACTCATTTCTCCACGGCCATTTGCTTTGTTTCCCATATGCAGGCCATTGTAGCTAAGGCTGCTGTGAACATTCATTCACATGTCGGTCTTGGTATGACACGTTTCCTCTGATTTTGAGTAGAAAGAATCCTTGGCATAGAATTATGTGAAGAGGGTGCACTTCTACTATCCATGATACAGCTTCGTTTTTAAATCTCGATGATGCTATCATTCGTGAAGCAGATAGTCTAAAGAACAATTGTTACTTGATGAATTCTGAGCAGAGGACAATTTTCGGCTAGCCTGAGATGTACATACCTCCAACTCTAGTTCCTGAGACTTTCCTTATTGGTGCCCTACTCATTACTGGCTCTGAGTCTCTCTCTAGCAAGTGGTTACACTGGTGCCAGCTGTAGGTTTCTTTTGTTCCCTTCATGCCTACGTGGAAAGGATGCAAAAATTCAGGCAAAGGTTTGTAGCTATTCAGAACCATATTGAAGTAAATATTAGGGCGAGTCGGACACTTTTCGCTCTGCCCGCCCAGTAACATCACTCATACGTGGAAATGATTAGATAGCAGCCTCTATGTTCTTTCATTGTGGGGACTTCCGGGGGCGGTTTGGAACCTGTCCAAAGTTTTAGGGCGTAGTGCAGACTTCAGATGAAAAGACAGTGCCAAAGAGACAAGAAAAAAGCAAAACCTAGCCTAATAGTCCAAAGAGCTTAGGTCTCCGAGCCAACAGGAGCAGGCAGAAGCTTGCTCTCTCCAGAGAAGCACTTGAAGGCCGCCTGTGCAGCAATTGCTATCAGCCCGGTGTTGTGGCAGCGGCGGTGGGAGGCCTGGCACTTTGGGCAAGATCAAGGGAAGTGGAGGAATCAGTGAAGTGGGAGCTGGAAGCTTAGCGCCCCCTTTCCCCAAAGGAAGAGTGGGCAGTTTTAAGGCCGCTTCCACACGGAGTGACAGATGCTTCCTTTTCCAGCAGGATGGTGACAGGGGTATTGGGGTGACCACATCCAGTGTTACGGGGACCCCGAGATGCTGGGGAAAACGCAAGCATAGGGCAGATATTGCTGCAGTCTTGCCCGCCCCTTGGTTCCTGGTCACGTTGCCCGGAGCCCAAGGGAAACCAACGAATCTGTGAGAGTTCTGGGTCCCCAGGGCTGGTGACTAAGAGCTGGGGTTCATCTACCATCTACTCTCCCTAGGTCCTCAAGAGTCCCCCTCCCCTTGCGCTTTGGATATAAGCAATCTCTTCTTTCGTTGATCTCTTTCCTTCTAACTTCTGGTTCCTGTTACCCCCCCTCCCCAGGCGTTGTTGTTTGTGCTGCGTTTTCCAGCTTTTCCCTTGTGTCTTTATTTTATTGTTCTTTTCCCGGGGTCGCTACTGCCCACGCCACCACGACCCTCTTTATAAGATTCCTTTTCAACCTCCACCCACTGGGAACTTCACCTCCGCTCTTTCCATCACCTTCCAGACTGGAGACTTGTCCTAACCCAAGGTCCACAATGAGGCAGGGATCCTTACACCAGATTCACAGTGCGCGTCTCCCACACAGCTCTAGGAATGACGAGCGTGTCCCCCCCCCCCAGCCTAGTCCCTGCCGTTTTTTTTTTTTTTTTCGGAAGATGCATACCTCCAGAATGGGCTGGAAGTGGGTTGGGGTCTCTCTCGCTGTAGTGTGTCCTTATGGTAAAGGGATAAGCAGGAGTCTGAGTCTGGGTGCCGGCAGGGCAATTCTTTACAGAGGCCCATCCGCTAGCCGAATGGCATTATCTCTGGGGATTTTGGAGGATTCTGCGGTGACCAGTGGGGGAGGCAACAAGTGAAACTAAGGGGCGGGAGCTGGGGTAGGGTCGTTGCTTGTACCTGGCTGGGCAGAAACCAAGGAACACTCCCGGCAGGACTGACCCTAAGGAAGCTCTCCACGCGTACAAGCCAAGGCTTTCCATGTAGGGTAAAATAAAATTGAGGTAAAAAAAAAAAAAAAAAAAAAAAAAAAAAAAACAGAGATTGAGTTTTTCCAAATGCTTCTTTGCAGTGTCTTCACTGCTCTCCCGGAAAACCGACTTCGCAAAGGATAGGTGCTGGGGTTCTGAAGGTACGCAAGGGGGTGGCTGGGCAGGAGCGGTTAACGTGGAGAGATTTTCGGAGGGCGGAGTGCTAACAGATAAAGAGTAGAATGCACTCCCTAAATCCCGATTGCCTCCCCTACTCGGGCAATGCCTTCAATCCAATCCACCCTCCAGTCGGCCGGTCGAGCCACTAGCTAGCCCATCTGGAGTGGATTTCAGGAAAAGAGGAAAATGGGGGCTCCCAAGCCCTTTCCAGCTTTTCTCCGTCGCCCTTTCTGATTGGCTGTGTATCCCTGGAGCCCAACTTCAGTCGCTTCAGACTCTGTCTGAGCCCCCAAAGAGACCAAGCTCTGCGACCCGGGGCCGGAGGAGCGGCCACCTATCCCGGGGTTTGGCATCTCGCTGGCCCAGGGAGGGAGGGGCCCGGACAGGGTCGGCCCCGTCGCCTGCTCCAGGCCCAATTCTCCACGTCTAGCAGTCTCGGTTCCTCTCCGCCCCCTCCCTCTCCTTCCCTCCCAACGGCGGCCTCCCTCCTCCCTCCCCCCCCAACCCGCCCGCCTGCCCGCCACCTCCCCCCGGTTTCTCATTCCTGCCACTAGCGCGCTCCGCGGCTCATTCCGCGGCCGCCGCCAGCTGAGGGGAGCGTCGCGGGCCGAGGAGCAGATGCCGCGGGGGCCGCTCACAGCCGCCACCGACTTGTGAATGGGACTCGGACTGGGGCTGACACCACTGCGCTCACCCAGTGCCAAGGACCGCCGGCCGGGAGGTCGCGTTCGCCCGCAAGGGCCCCAGGTGAGGCGCTCTGCGAGTCTCTAGCCCGTGTCTAGATGGGGCTTCTCGGAGTATGCAGAAAGAAGAAATAATCGCTATGGAAGGGGGAGGCTGATGGTTGATTGAGATCACTAATGCAAAGAGGGAGGGCTTGGGGGGGTGTTCAAAGAATATTTGTTTTTAAAATCAGAAAAGAAAAAAAAAAGAGAGAAGGCAGCCAGCTGTGGGCGCCGGCAGAGCAGGGGTTTGAGGCGCCAGATGTGCACTCCCCCGCTCTTTGATGTGTTCCCCCCTCCGGGGGGTGTTGCACCAAGGCTTTGGCATAAGGGATTTGCTCTGGGTTGGGGCATGGGACTGCAGAGCTGAGCTCTGGACACGCAGACTGCTCTGGTCATGTCTCTAGGGAAAGTCGACCCCTGTGCGGTGCCGCCCGCCAGCGCAGTGCCGGTTCCCCAGACTGGATCGCTCTCTGTAGGGTTCCTAGGGGGTCCTCCAGCACCTCCATAGAAACCTACCCAGGACGCAGTCCTGGTAAAGAGAGCGCGGGGGAAGCCCAGACGAAAGCAAGCGGCCGGGAGGGGAGAAGCAATTGGCCGCACTTTGATAGCGTGGGTCCGGGTCTTCCGACTGCGGCTCCGAGGCCGGCGGCTGCGGAGCGCATCAACCCTCGAGTCAGCGCCTCCTCGGGGGCTCCGCTCGCCCTCCTAAGCTCCTAGCGGTGTAGTGGGTGGTCTGTGGGCGGCTCAGACTCTAGCTGGGCTCCGACTTGGGCTAGAGGAAGCTTTCCAGGGTCAACGTTAACTTTGAGAGTCAAACCTTCCCCGAAAGCCTGCGCCTCCTCTCGGAGCGCTTCAAGCCTCCCTAGCTTCCGCACGCTCGCCTCCCTCCCAGCGCTTGGCCTCCGAGCCGCCCTGCAGGGAGGGCCAGGAGCGGTGGGAAGGGGGTGGCCGCGGGGGCATCCTTCCGTTTCGCTCCCACCCAGGCTCTCCTCCGCAGGGTCTTCTCGATCTGGGATGCAAAGAGTCCCTGAAGAAAGTGGGACCCAGGAGGCCTCGGGTCCAGCTCCCTGTTCTCTTTCTTGCCAAAACCGGGTTTTCGCCAGGGCTCCTCACTCCTGCCTTCCGTGGTGAAAGGTTCCCTAGATGATCGAAGAAGCCCTGTTGCTTTTGGTGATAAATGCACCAGGAATTTCACAGTCTATCGCACGCTATGAAGAAATTGCATCTTCTAATTATTTAACGGTGCCATTTCTGCACTAAGAAGGGTCGTCCCTAAGGACTGGGAGTGGGTTGGTGAATGAAAGCCTGTTACTGCATGAGAGTAGAGATTTGTCTAAAGTCTCCTCTTCGGTTTCTTCTCCAAGAAGTCTTTTACGATGGCTCCTAAATCTTCTCCTATTTTCCTCCGATCATTCTTAGCTGTGTACTAGGAAGCAGTAAGTTTTCGGTTTAAGCTCAGAGAGCAGTGATAATCAATCTGGCCAGAGGATAAATCAATTTCCTTATCGCTAAGGGATTGCAGCGAGGGTTTTGCGAGGTGTCTGGATTTTCCGGGAGACCCGCATACAGATGTTCTCAGGACCGAGGATCCCTTGGAGGCAACGTCAGAGTATTAGCCAGGTTCAGCCCAGTGCCAGGGCCTCTAAGGCTAGCAGAGGAAAAAAGAAGGGACTGACCTTGATTTCAATAATGTTGGAATTGTGTTTTCCTAACAAGAAGACAGAAGTCCTCCCCGAACCAAGACAGATGCTCAACCCTGGCTTCAGGCAGCCTGCTTCTCTTCTAGTAGAACAAAGGAATAAAAGTTACAAAACAAAGGGACATAGCTGTGGCCATTACAAGAGTGACTCTAAAGCCACAGGCATGCTAAGTTCCTTAAACAATCTCTAGCTCTTAAGTTTTAGGGTTGGCCAGTCAGGCCCTGGAATTCGATCCCTCTGTGCAAAAACATCTATCCTGCCCAGTACAGAGGAATGCAAGCTGTTCTCAGTGGAGGGAGATCAGGCACAGGCGTCCAAAGACCAGAAAACTTTGATGGGTGAAAATGGGCTTTGCATCTTGCTTTCAGAGGCATTAAATCTTAACATGTTGAAGTACTTGGAGTCTATACTTTTATTTTTAGTAATAACCAATGGTTACTGTCATTATTCATTATTTTAATTGTTAGTTCAAAGTCTGCCTATACTTACCAGGTTATCATATGGAGAGAGAGAGAGAGAGAGAGAGAGAGAGAGAGAGAGAGAGAGAGAGAGAGAGAGAGAACATTCTCCACCCCTGCCGGTAGGGGATGAACAAATGAACAAATAAATGTTTAGGGAGGATAGAAATGGGATAATCTGGTGAGGCTGGACTTGCAGATTTGTTCAAGGTGGGTTTGTTGCATGCTTAGGAAAAAAAGAAGAAAGAAAGAAAGAAAGAAAGAAAGAAAGAAAGAAAGAAAGAAAGAAAGCAAGCTTTTGAGAAATGGTTCTTGTGGAAGCATTGGGCCATCTTGATAACACCCCGGGAACTTCCATTATGTTCAGAACGCTTATCAGTGCACTACAGCAAATTACTTGAAACTTAAATTCTATTTTCAATTAAGATGCAATCTTTTGTTAATTTGAAAAAAATTAAGTTACAGCTCTATTTTATTTTTATGGCGCAGAACTCATATTTCCCCCGTTTACTTTGGTGGCCTCAGAATGTTTATTTGTGGGAGGAGGGTGCAGAGTTGGAGGGCTGTGTCATCATTTGGGGGAATATGGGTCAATTTCATGCCCCTTTAAGGCACAACCCTTCGTCATTCATGGCTTTTCTTTCACTTCGAATAACATTACATGGCTGCTTTGTCAGGATTCGGGTTTGGTGACCCTCATATGGGAATCACCATGCCATTGACGTCATGGCTTGATTTACAATGCCAAAGCCATACTGCCATGAGCTTTGTGTGTCTTGAAACTTTATCCATGAGTGCCAATAGCCGAGGAAAAGCACTCAGTTCACGTAAACTTTGATCCATTGTATGTAAATCTGTTTTTTTTTCCTTCTGAATCATCCAAAAAAAAGGCCCACAACTCTGATTTTAATCTGCATTCCCAATCCTTTTGTGTTGGAAGTTCAAAATGCATGCTAAGTTTATTTGAGCTTATTTTCAACATTGACTTTTATTTTACTTTGGTTATAGGCCTACCTATTTATTGGCTAATAACAAAACACACTCCATGTAGTCGAGAGAAGGCAGTGGACATTTCTGTTTCACAATCAAGTCTGCAGAACTGCTACAAATTTCCAAGTATTCCCGTAGAAATATACGTTCACTTTATGTGTTCACTATGATTTTAACGCATTAAAATATATTTGCAAAGAGTTTCTCTTTTACCAAACCGGTCGTTATTCCATTAATAGTTAGTTAATTTGTCAAGAACTTTTGTTCTTTATTTAGAATTCGAAGTGGTCAACATTCCTATTTCAAAGTGAATGCTTCAGAAATACATCAAGTTATCTAGCTTTTATAATATTGGAAGGTAAATTTTAATGGAAAGGGGAATAAAATCCACAGATTTGTTGGGGAAAAAGAAGGGGAAGAAAGGCAAGAGAAAGTTTGAAATGGTGTGGTTTCCCCGTATGAATTTACTGGTCCATCAGGGTTCCTGTGATGGTCATCTAAAGTTTCCTCTCTGACCAAGAAATACTAAAGAAAACAGTGGAGGAGGATAATTAAACATCTTTCTGCTATAATTTTACACTGACATTGTGAGCCTCCTACATCTCTAGAAATGGACTCTTTTGCGGAAGTTTGCACTTTTGGCCACTAGAGGGCAATGGTGACCTTCTCCAACTTTTTACTTTGGGCCTCTGCTTTTGAGGGGCACCATGAAAAGCAGTTTTGTTGCTAGCCTAGTCTGCACCTCTGTAGAGAGACCAGATTCCCCTTTCTGTGGCTCAGGCTCCTGAGCTGTGCAGGAGCAACTTCCGAGGTGGAGGATCTGTTTCTGGCAGTCTCTCCTTTTCACTTTACACCTTGTTAGAAAGTTGAGGAATTCTGTGATTTGAGATTGCCTAAATCAAACCCGAGTGGGGGTTGGGCAGAGGATAAATAAGGTTAGCTCTTAATGAGGCAGCTATCTGCCAGACAGATGGGTGGAATGATAGGTGATAGATGATGTTTTTAGTTTAGTTAGTTAGTTTGTCTTATTTTGTGATAGGAGGATAGTTTTGATTTGGGGAGGGGGGGATGAATTAGAGGCGGGGGAGGGGGAAGGAGAGAAGTATCCCGAGACCTCTGCAATAACATTTTCTCTCTTTCAAGAGGTCTGAACGATATTTGCAAGGCATTTGCAATTTGCAAAAAAAAATTATAAAAAAACTGCAGTTTAATTTTCAGTAAACACTTTGGAGTGTTGAGTTTTAATAGAGCAGCAATAGTTTACGCCTACCTTTAAATCATTTCTGATATTGCTGTATAAAACCTAACTTTAGCATGGAGTAAAATTTAATTCAAGCTTGGTCCTCAGTCATTGGAATTTTAATCATTGAGGTTTTTTTTTTGTCTTTCCTCAGTGATATGGAAATTGTGGTTTATGATTAAATGGCATATTTCAGACAGCATAAATGTATGTTTGTTACTGTTTGATGGTGTCATTAAGAAAGTTCAGAAGAACTGAAAGAACAAATGCTATGCTATAATTAAGAGGAACGCTCTATTAAAAGTAAGTACTGTCTTAAGTGGATACTTGTCTATTTTATTTTTTTTTAACTGAATAGAGCTGCCTCCCTGGTTGGCTCAGCAGTAGAGTTCCGTGCAGCTCTGAGCTGGGCTGGAATCTGTGGACATTTGATGAAGCAGGAATCAATGCTAATGGATTATGGGAGGGACGATTAAGTCACTCAGTGGAAAGTAAGATGAAGTGTTTTGTAAACTGCTGTTCACTCACGACCAGAGTGTGGATTTAACTTTTCTTAAAAGGCACTCTGACAATCGAAGGCCTGGTGAGCAATGCACATTAGAACTGTAGACGAAACTTTATTGTCGTTTAGTTT